ACAATTATTGTCCCACAGCCTGACTACCATGTTTGATTTCTTTTCCGATTCTGATACAGAGTAAAACTCAGACTGCAATACTGATCTGATGCTAATACACCTGATGCATCTGGTAAGTCTTTAAAAAAATAAGTGCTTAATAAAGATTACATGTCATTTATTTATTCATTTTATTCTCAAATACTTGTTGATGTAGCATCCTTATATTGTCGAGCTATAACCAATCAGAGGACACAATAAAAACATGTGAAATGGTGTTTTAAACAATAGAAGTGTAATAAAATGTAAGAAACGTTCAAATAAATATTTGTTTAATTATGAAGAATTCCTATTAAACTAAAATAAATTGTGTTTCAATTCACATGACATGAACATATTAACATGAATGTACTGAACATGGAACATCTAAGTGAGACTGACATTACTCAGGCGGAAGAAAAAGTAGGTCCAACAAACCATGTATGATTTTAGACAAAACTTCAGCAGTTTAGCACTGATGTGTTCTTCTTAATGATAAGCATTACCTGAAATGACTGAAGTATTAAAGTATCAATATTTAGAGCATAAAGATCTGGTAACAATGTAGTATCAAGCCGCACATCACTATCACAAGCGTGACAGATCAGATGTAATGACAAATTTCTTGTTGTAGAAACAAGTTACTCAACAACATAAGCTTTAAAAAACTTTTTATTACACCAAATAGTCTACAGCCGAACAGGTTTTATCACTTTATTCAATCATAATATTGAAGCAAACAATGCAAAAAGAAAAGATGACAAAATACAACAGGTTTATATATATATATATATATATATATATACACTTGTGTGTTTTAAGTCAAGAAATGTACAAGTAAAATCAGTGGTGGGTATGTGAGGAACAATAAAAGTTTATTCTATCTATTATCTATCTATTCTAAATAATTTATCCTGAATTCTTTGAACAATATAAAGAAAACTCTTCCCTCCATATTTGTGCCTGAAACCATTCATTATGTCCACAGAATTAAACTGACATGACTGTAGCAAATACTTTATTGTGACACAAAGAACTTCCACCTCAGTTTTTCTTCTTTACTGTTGTACAATGGTGGATTCAGGATTTTTCAATGTAAGGGTCCATCGAGGGGCCACAATATTCATAGAGGGGCCAAGTATTTGTTCAACATCCTTGCACACAAATCCCCAGTTTTTGTAAGGTTTATACATTTAATCAGTCACGCATGTTGAAGCACTTGTAGAAACTTGCACAGTAAATACTCTATCAATTTTACATGATTTTTTTTTACTGTACAGAAACAAAATACTCCCAAACACACAATATGTAAGAAAATCTAGCCATCATTGTCAGTAAAAAAACCTTTTTTTCTGCAGGATTGTTCAAATTGAAAGAGACTTCTGTCAGCTTGCTTCATGTTGGACTTTCCTATTTGACTCACTGGCGCCACTAGTGGTTGGAAGTGGAACTGCAGCCACCATCATTATTCTTGAGCAAGGACAAATGAGTGAAAGGACAGGGGCATTTCAGGGGGCCAATCAGATTTCAGATTGGGCCAATGCCCCTGTGGCCCCGCCCCTAGAACCGCTCCTGCACTTTGACATATTTTCCTTAAGACTGACTGTTCAGCTTCTTATTGTGAAACCTACTAAAAACCTGTGAAGCAAATGTTTTAATAAAAAGGAAAAAATGTCAGTGAGGAAGGAGGATGCAAAGAAAAGCTCATTGTAAAACTCTGAAAAAGAAAGTTGAGTTTCCTGCTCCCTGCAGTTCACAGTTGACTCCATCAATGCCCTGCTGTCCCCAAGTTTTGCCACTTTAGTGTCTCTCGTTCTCTCTCTCTCTCTCCTCATTGACTCACCCAGAAATAAATGCCCATTTTTCGAGTCCAACTGTGACATTTCCAGCTGGTATGTCTGTGCCGCGTGTGAACGTCCAAAGCAGCAAATTACATGTGACATAAGCTCAGCTGTTTCCCTGCAACACGTGTAATGAATGCTTGATGATCCTTTCTTTTTTAGCCTGAGTCGCTTCAAAAATGTTCCATTTTCTGTTGTAAACGACACACAGCGTGTGACATCTGTTTTCACACATCTTATTGTTGTCTTGTTGCTGTGGGAAACTAAAGTTGTACTCTATGACTGGGTGGGGGGGGAGGCAATTTTCTCCTAAGAGTGCTGTTTGGTGCAAGTGTTGGCAAATAAAAAGCAGGAGATAATGGCTGGGAAAGTGGTTGTTCATCTCTAACTTTGAGAAGGACACACTCAGTCAAAATTGATCTGTTTTGGTGCAAAACCTTCTCGTTTKCTCCCCTTCACAGCCACCAGCGTGCACTGAACGCCAGCGGCAAAGAGTCAAAGCTAAAATCCAAATGTGGCTCCAATTAACCTGTCTAAAAGCAGAGAGTGAAAGTCTTTGTTGCTCTTGATGCTGATGGACAGTGTGTGTTGTTCTGACATGGCCTTTGTTGTCAGAATAAAATGTCCTGAAACTTGCTGCTTTGTTTAAGTCCCCAGCAGACCGGATGTTTTGACACTCTAAAGTTTTAAAAATTCACAGTTGCTGTCGGGGAAAGTTTAGTTTCTGAGCAGTTCCATGAGGCAGCTGAGGCAGACATTCAGCTCTGTTTGTGTTAAAATAATCATGACAGCGTCCTGCTGTATTAAGGCTCTTGATTGATGGTTTTCTGCATTTATTTTCTTAAGAGGGTTCTAATTTATTCTGGTCTCCTACTGCTAAAATATTTAATGAACAAGTATTCAGATTTTAGATCTAACCTGAGAAAAAAGCTTAACTTATTAAAAATTGTGCTTGGATGAATAAGAAAACTTAAAATTTGAGTCCTCAAATATTTTTTGTTGGTTAAACACTCAACAACAAAAGTGATGAAGCCACTTTTTTATTTTAACAGCAAGTCCAAAAACCATGTAATTTGATGAAATTATCAGAATTATCACATTTTTATTGTTTGTTTATTCCTGTGGAGCTCCACGGCAGGACTTTCAGTCTTGATGTCCTGCAGTTGTTGTTTAGTGGTTTATTATTACTGCTGTTTATTATTATCTTTTTTCCATCTTTTTCTTTTCATTTTTGTGTCTTAAAAAACAAACAAAAATCACTGAATCTGCTCTATTTAGGACCAGTTTCAGATAGATACAAATTAGAATCACAGTGGAGTATTTAGTCATTAAAAAACAAGCTGAAATAAATTTATAAGTATCCTGATGCATCTCAGTAATCCAGGTAAAAATCAAAAAGAAAAAAATTGTATAGGTCCTCTGGACGGGTTCTTTAATGAAACATTTNCACACACACACACAGAACCGCCCCTACTGTTGTACTTTCAGGGCAGCGATGCAGCTCCACAAACAGCCCTTGTATAGTTCCTATAGCCTTTTCTTCTGGTTTTGTGTGGACGAAAGTATTTCTGGAAACGGTACCGTGTTTGTGAAGAAAAAGATATATTTATTTTTTTAAACCAGTGATCCCGTGTGGATAACACATTCTCACTCTCAACTCGTCAACATATTGACACTTTTCCAAAGCTCCCTCTGCGTCTTATTTTGACGTGTCAGGTGACCCCCTCGCATCAGTCCTTGCCGCCCGCAGCTTTTCTGGGTTGCGTCAACAGGGGTCTTTGGGTTTGGGGTCTGAGGTTAACATGAGGGATCAGGATAAATGGTTAAGGTTAGGTGCTGGGGTCAGGGATAGGATGTCTACAGCAAATTTTAGGTAATTTTAGGCTTTGGAACACAGTTGATGTGAATTTCCAACATTTTCTAAAAATGGTTAATTTTATGTATCAGGGTTAATGGTTAATTTTACGTACTAGGGTCAGGTACAGGATGTCTAAAGTGAATAAAGGTAATTTTAGGCTTTGGGACGGTAGTTTTTGTGCATTTTCTACACTTTCAGAAATTATGACAACAGATTCTGCCCCATCTTGTCAAGAAATGATGCAAGGGGAGTACCGGACGCTTCAAAATCGGACGCAGAGGGAACTTTGGAAAAGCGTCAGTATGTGACGATTCGAGAGTGAGAATGGGTTGGTGTGGATGGGGCTTCAGTCTTCGGGAGCGTTAGTAGCTCGCTGGGTCGCGGGTTGATCAATCTCTCCCTCAGCCACAATCAGTGCAAGCCAGTTTCCTTTGGTGTATCCAGAGGTGAATAATTTATAGGAAGATAAAAGCATTTGTGGTTGAGAGTTAGACAGTCAGACAGTAGAGGGAAGCAAGCTGCCCCCCCCCCACCACCACCACCACCTCCAACTCAGCCCCTACCAAACTCGCCCCCTGTGCGGCGCGCTGCCCTTGCACGATACCTCGTCGGACGGCTCCTTGAAGTGCAAATCTGTGTTCTTACTTGTTCCTGGTGCCTGTCAGCATGTTTTCCTCTTGTCAGCAGCGATTAAGTGTGGCTCTGCGTCACTCTTGTACTGCTGCTGTAACAGGATCGTTGACAGGCCAGTGACACTGCCCAACCAGATAATGGAAACCTATTGATTTTTCTTCTACTGTTTTCTCCCTTTTTTCCCCTTCCCCACACAAACAATCTGACACTTTTCAATAACTGGCCAAAGAACAGGTCATGATCAATGTTCCTGACCTTTGGATCACTGCTGCTGCACACTTTAAAGCAGGTGAAGAAAATAAAAAAGCACAAGACTGTGGCTGACATATAGATCCTGCTGGCTAACCCACAGTTTTAGTTTAGTTCAGCTAAATAAATTCCGACAGGTAATTTAAGGAGTAGCCTACAATTGTCCATGCTAAAGTTTAAGGGTGTTTTCACACCTGACACATTTGTTCCACCTTTAAAGGACCAGGGTTTGTTTCCCCCATTGGTCCGGACCTTTTGTCCAGGTGTGAATACACTCATGTGAACCCTGCGAACCAGACTGAGACATGTTCAGGTTGTCTCTGTCCAGTTCCAAACCAACGACCACTACATACTCCCTCTAAACTGCCGATATCAGCTCTCATTGTCGCAGCTGAATGTAACTGTGTCATTTGTTTCGGCAGACTGACAGGACCTCCCCTTCTCGACACAAGGTCTCGGTCGAACTGTTTCTCACCGTGCTCTGTGAGAAGTGTTGTGTGATTGGTTTGACGTTCAGGGGCGCGTTTGTTTGTGCTACAAGTGCTCGGACGCTGCATTTTGCTCCAACTGCGTTTTGCTTCTAGTGTGAATACTGACTGGCCTCGACCTGAACCAACTACAGGGAACATGCTGTTTTTAGGACATCACAAGCTACTGTTGCTAATCAGCATGGTAAAAATGAGCTTTTCATTGTTGCTAACACTACTACATGGATGCTACAAGCAATGAGTCACCTGGAGCGACGAGGAAACACGGTGCCTCCTTGATATTTGGACAGATGCACATATAGTAAATAAACCAACATCTTATACAATCTGTTGACAGAATGAGTGTTGAAAATCAGTTTTATCTTTCACCACAACAAATTTGATTTCTAAATCTGTAAAATGGACTGAGTTTTAAATCAAATCAAATCAAATTAATTTTATTTATAAAGCGCTTTAAAACAGCGTCCGCTGACACAAAGTGCTGTACATGAGGGGCCGAAACAATAAAACAAATCAACACTAAAAACAAGTTTAAAAAAACAGTTAACAAAGACCAAGATCTCAAACTGTGTTAAAAACCAGGCTAACTATTGAAGCTTACTTCAAAAGGCAACCAGTTTTAGACATCTGCTCCATAACTTTCTAAAAGTTTAAAAAAGTGTGCAGTTCATTTTAATGGCTTTCTAAATGTTTGTGTCAAATACAATTTTTTTTTCTGTGGGCACTGTTTCAATTGGCGCGGGGGGGGGGGTGTCATTTGTATTTTTGTTTTGTCCTTCATTTTCTTTATCAAAAAAGGAATGTACTGTTGTATAGTCTGAATCTTTATTCACAGTTGCCCATTCTCGATAAATATTTCTAAACAAAAATAAATAAATGTATAGAGGTAATAAAACTTTTTCATAACAGCAAACAAAGAAATGCAGGTAAAATACAAACACATTTGCCCTTTGGAGGCAGGTGATAATCAGAGTTATTCCTACTGCTGGACCTTCTTCTAATTTATTTAATCTAAGACAGATTGTTACCTCTAAACAAATGCAGGTTTCCTTTTCTGCTCGAGTGACTACAGGGGTTAGTGATCCCAGCTTTAATGTGGAAGTCTCCTGAGAGAAGGCCTCTTTGATACCCACGGCAATGATCAAAATGCATTGGCTGGCTACCATTGGACCCCCATGGCAGATGGTGAGTGCGGGTCCTTCAAAAACACATATCTTTCTGTCAGCCTTGTTCCTCCTTCCCTCTCTCTCTCTCTCTCTCTCTCTGCAGCCAGTGGTATAATGAAAGCCCAATTCTGGTCATGGCTAACTCAATCTCATTATAATCGCTCCCTCTTTTTTTTTTTTCATTCAGCCCCATGGGACGCTGTCTGCCAGCAATGTGGCTTTCAGCCTCCAGAGAGAACATCTTTTGAAAAAGCCAGGAGACCTAATGAAGTCACAGAGAGGCACAATTATATCCCAAAGAAGGAGCATTGATGTACTTGGAAATTCCCTCTGGAGGAACATGATGACAATTGGTTTGTACAGCTTTGATCACTGCTTTAAATACTGCCCAAGATAAACTACAGGGTTATCCCCCTTTGCCACTGGTGAGTAGGCAAACCAGAAGTGGCTATCAAGCTTTAGAGTCACCAAACCCTCAGCCTGTGCAGCTAAAACATGGAGTCTGATAGTTTGCAATTTTTAGATTAATTTTTGGTAAAACACAAAGGCACTGAAGACGCACTGAAGTGTGCACGTCTCACCCGAAAGAATTGCCAGAAATTTTGTTATGCATAACGAGTGAAAGTGAGTTGTGAGTTGTGCTGAAAAGAATGATTCATTATCACATAAGACACCTTCAGACAACTGGAAGCGGCAACTCCAGCTGCTGCTAAAAGTTGCATCTGTGCTCTGTAATCACAGACACTTTCCCTTACATTAATTATGAAATTGTTTTTTAGCTACAAAAAATGAGTGTGATGCTCGAGGTTGTTGGCGCCCCGCTCGCGGTGCCGAATAACAGCTGCGGTACGCGATAAATTACCAGTCAGCGCTAAAGTGCATTCCATCAAATCCGGCGGTAACTTTTTCTGTCGCCGAGACCTTTTGATGCAACACATTCCCAATGTTTCTTCTTCTCAAATCACAAGTAACTCACAACATTTTCTCTGCTTTGAATCAAGGTGGTCATTACCATGCTTTATCATAAAATTCATTTTACACATTTACCCCTGTTTCTGCTTTTTTAATTCTGACAAACTCACACTATCAACCATTTCTTTCACCACTTTTAATGTCTGAGTTTTAGACTGAGATCATCTGAGTTTCAGCTGTTTTGATCAAACCTTTATATCATTATTTGCAAATTTTGTCACACTAAGGTTTCTTGCAGGATCTGATTTGTGTTTTATATTGTTTTTCCTTTTTTTCATAATGAATTGGTCCAATTAAGTAAAATGACAAAAATGACTGCATCTTGAATGATCTACTAGCATTTAGATATGTTTTGTGACCTGAGCACAATGCATGTTATGTCAATCTCCTGACATTTACAGAGGTTTAGTCATGTCAAATGGCTGTGTGAATTGTGTTGACTCCAAAAGTTGTTGTTGATGTCACTCTAATGATTACTATCTGAAAGTTTCATTAAAATGTGTCCAGACAGAATTTATTTTAAAGATAATGATAACGTTTTAAAAACAGATCCCGTCCATTCAGTTAATTTTCAGGGCATAAATTGTAGATCAGTCTCAGCTACCCCATCACATTTTTACTCAATATTCATGAAACTGACTTAGAGATTGACAATTTTGTTTTGCCTAATTTGGCTTTGCTGTGGCGGCCATCTTAATTCAAATTGAGTCCTAAAGTCAATGAATGCTTTTAGAAAGTTTCATCAGTGGCAGCTTGTCAGGTTGAAGAAGAAGAAGAAGAAGAAGAAGAAGAAGAAGAAGAAGAAGAAGAAGAAGAA